AACAATCAATTATATTCCACATATTATACGGGATGTTTTGAAGAACGGTGTCACTATTTTCTCTATGAACTATGGGCCTATTGTTTTTTCTTTAATGTAAATTTTAATTTTATACAAACTTTCCTAGAAAAACAATTGATCGTACTAAAGTCTGTAAGCTTATTTCTTGAAATGTCTCTCTTATACATGTTTTGTCAAATTATAGAAAAACCTTATTAATTTTGTATTCATTAGTTAGTAAAATTATTACTTTCTTTTGAAAAATTCATAAGTTACTTGATAAGAAAGCGCGATTTAAAAATAGAAATTACCTTCAGCAACCAAATAAATTTTCAGCCCAGTACATTCTATTTTGTTAAAAAGTTACTAAAATTTGATTTTAAAAAGTTTTTTATGGCGTTCTATCACAAAAACAAAAGATAATAAGCTGTAGGAAGCGATCGCCTTATTTTTTATGTTCTACCAGTACTATTTTTCGAAACACTTATATTGTAAAGAAAAAATATAACAAAATATTATACTCATATTGTGTTGTATTATTGTAATTTTTCAGCATATACATATTTTTGGCGTTAACACTAAACTTTACTTACCTTTCAATTAAATTATAATATAGAAATAGCATCCATTCACATTCAAAATTGTAGTTAGACTAGAATAAAAAATTTATCCGAAATTCAATATTGTTCAAACTGCAGCCTAAAACTTTGTAGTTGTATGATATACTTCCACCAAAGACAAATAATATGTGAAACTTATAACTTATGATGTATTTTACACTAATTTTGGAATCAAATAATAAACCGATGTTCAAATAAAAATTGTCACAATAAAAATAAAATAAGCAAAATGCAATTAGAAATATCCATCTGCTGCTAATACGTCGTTTGCCAACACTAACGACAGATCTTCCCCACGCTTCGAATATCTGAAATATGATTTTATATTTAATATTATCCATTACTTTTTCCAGATTACTGCTCCATGCACTGAGTAAACGTAAGTATAAAAGTAAATAGAAAGTAGGAGCAATAGTTTTGTTAGGAGTCTGACTAAATACGTAATATATATGAAGTAAAGTTTTTAGTAAAGTAACAAGAAAACTTGTTTGCGAAACCAAAATCACTTCCATATTGATAGTTAAGTTTAACACGTAAACCGTATAATATTAAACGAAGACAAATCTGTATGTAACTGAAGGAAAATGATATACTATTAGCCATTTTATAACAGAAATTTCCCAACAGTTTAATAATTCAAAAGAAGGCCGTCTTTAAAAACTTTTGGAAACAAAATACAGAAAGGTGACACGAACGACACTCTCGCACAAAATATTTGTAAATGATACGCTTGTAAAAAATTAATTATATAGAAGAGCCCTTCTCCTAAATTTTTAAACGATTTACAAAACATATTTAGAGCTAAACCCATTTGTGGACCCTAGCGTCATCTGAAGTGGTATGTTAATGGACGAAGCATTAAAAATGAATAGCAGTCACGCCATTTTGGTCATGCATGGAAAGAAAATAGTAACTTGTCGCTATAAAGTTAAATTTTCTTAATTCCAAGCAATCTTTATTTTGAAGATACTAATTCAGACTAATTCTAAAAAATTAATAAAATTCTTAGAAAATGAATTCATATGTAGATACCAAATAGCTAGAAATCTTTTATTGACTAGTAATTAGCACGGGCGTAGCCAGGGGGCAGGAGGGGGGCACGGCCCCCTTAATTCTGCTGCATGCTGCAAATTTCAAATACGTATTACATTTTTCGAAAATTGTCATTAACAGTTAACTTTTATATGATATTTATTAAATAGCAAAACAACAGTTTTTAGTCTACAGAACGTAAGTCTTTTAATTAGGCAGTAAAGTACAAGATTTAATGCCGCGGCTGATATTTAATAGACGAGGTGCAGCCGAGTTTATTAAAGCAACCAAGACATTAAATCTACTTTTCTTCAAGTTAAACACATAATTTTTTCGCCGACCAATTTTGATTTTATCATAATAGCAAACAAAGCTATTTATTTTATATAATTAAAATTGTATGATAATACTTTCATGAATAATAATAATTTCATCAAATCATCTGTGGTTGCCACGAGCAGAGTATTAAGTAAATAACTAAGGTACACAGTAATCGCCATATTGTTCCTTTTTAAATCCATAAAAATAACTATTTATTATTTGAGATAGAAGAATTCACATTAACTCGGCCACAAATTATTGATTATCAGCAAAGCGAATAGAGTTGTTACCAGAAAAATAAAGAAGGTATAGGTATCAGCAAACATAAAAAAATTTATTGATTCAGAAAATGTACTTCGTATATTTTTCTGAATTAAGCAGAAGTATGAAATCTTCTTCATTGTGGTCAATATATGCGATGCTCAAAGCTACTTTGAACATGTAAATCGGTCTGAGTGAAAGCAAAAAGGTACCGATAGTTTCATAGAAATTAATACATTATTAAGTGAAATTAAGTGAAAATAAGTCCAATTTTACTTACAGTGAATGTCTGCATTCTCGAATAATAGATGAATTAACCTATAATGAGTTCTTACAAGACATCCTGTATATTACAATATGTAACTAAATGATGTTTAATATTCAAGAAAATTACCTTGGGAAATGAAAAAAATCTTATTTACTTGGAAGATTACAGTAAGTACGTATTTTATAATTGATTTTACTCCAATAAATACCTAGCCCCATTTGAAGTTTTTCAAGGATCCAAACTAAGCTCCTTGTACTTTCTTTTGTTCGTTGACGATTTAAGCTACCTTATACGGTCATACAAACTTAAAAATAAAAATTGGAATCATAAACTCCCACAAACTGATGTAACAGAAATAAATTATACTTAAATGCATTGAAATGCAAAATAGTAACATACTCTATGAACAATTTTTTTACAAATGTGAGTATGTCATTAGCATCAATATACTTTCACATTACACATCGGATTTTGGAATAACTTTTGATCATGAGCTGTCATTGAATAATCTTAATAACCTCAAAACCTCAAAGTTACGGAGGCAATGAAATGTTTTGGCTTTATTTCCGGAGATTGTAAAAGTTTTAATGATATTAATTTATTGAAAATTTTATATGTTCAATTTGGTACCCCTTATTTCTCATGTTCATTCAGTAGAAATAGTGCAAGGGAGATTTTTTAAATATTTGGCTCGAAAGGTATAGATTATAATTATTTAACAAATAGTTTTAACGTTGATTCTCTAGAGTTAAAAAACATATTTCTTTAAAGTTTTTTGTATAGACTTCTGCATAATGAGATCGATTGTCATAAACTTTTAAAGTGAGCACTAATATCCGTTTGAAGTCAGCGCTATTACGAAGAGCAAATAGCACTTATGTGATATTAACGACTCTACAATGAATGAAATTATTAAATTGTTTCCACTGTAAGTTTAGATAAAATTCAATAGTATTTCTTGCTCAGGAAATACTTATTAACATTAAATATTAACATTAATAAAACTGAATACAGATTATTTAGTGTTTATCTCTTTTGTATTTTGAAGAGTTATCGAAAAATAATATATACATTTTGTAGTATATAATTTACAATAATAGTAATAGAGCTCAGTAAGTTATAGATATGGATTTTAAATTATAACCTATATTTAATTAATCATTTATCAAATTCATAGATATTGATTTCATACAACCTAGGAATTAACCCACATACAACCAATTATTTGCACAGATCGAACAGTGATAAATCATTGACATGTGGATAGAAAATCATTTGAATTGCAAGATAATTCTGCTGTTTGGATGAAATATGTAATTATTTTTTTTAAATACACAGGAAAATTGGCATAAATTAATCAATAGTTTATAAAAAACAAACAAATACTAAGTAAATGAATAAGACATATAAGTAATTTTGAAGTATAACATTTACTAATTGACACAACCTTTTATTTAATATTAAATAAATCGATGTCCGTAAACTCGACTGGCAGAAATATTTTTTGAAAAGAGAATAATATTTTTTTAATAGCTACTGACTTACACATTGAAATGATAAAAACTTTTTTGGAACCGCTGACTTCACCGACACCGACAGCCTTGTTTCTGTTTATAAGTGTTGGAGCATGTGTATTTGAAAATGATTACCTAAAATTGAACTAGCAATTTTCTTTTTATTTCAAAAAACAGGACAAAGAAGAGAACTACACGCCATTTACTGCCAATCTCTTTTCTGTAGTATGTAGGTACTCGGGGACGATTCCAGAAGTTTTCGATAAGTTTTAACAATTTCGATTATTAGTAATTTTAAGTGCCATTTTGTAGTTTCACTGATGTGGATTGTTGAAAGTGTAAATAAAAATTCTCCCCTTGTAAATACCCTTTATACAGGTGTGAAAATTTTAATTAGTTAATAATGAGGTAATAGGTAAAATACCTCCATACTTAATTTTTAATATACTTTATAAACTTTTAATTATTTCAGTACTAATATTGTAAATTTTTGTAATAATAGTTTCATATTAATAAAAAAAAATTGTTTTTAGTATACATTGCTGTACTTTTGGTATTAGCTTTTGTATTATTTTCTCTTTGATGCCAACCTCTTTTTCAAGTAGTCTAAATTGATTATAATTATTAGTAATAGCTAGTTTGTCTCAGTAGTGATTCTTTAAAATATCTAAGTTTTTGATATCAGACCATATTTGACATAATTTGATAACTCTTAAAAAAATTGAAATAATTTAGTTAATAACTTTAAAATAATAACGTTATTTATAACGTTTATCATTTGAAAATATACCCACTATTGGATACACTTGAGAGAAACATAAACAACAAGAGAACAATGGGTAAGTGAAATAATGTTAATTATATTTTTTTTGCATTTTATTTCGTATTCGATATCATTTACAACTGCTTTTTTTAAGTAAGTAGTAACCATTATTTTCCAGAAAATAGTGAATTACTAACATGCAATATTTTTTTTGTTATAATTTAAAGCACGTCACCTGAAAGCTTATTATATTTCAAAACTTTTACAACCCTGCTTTTCAATTTATGAATATTTTCTGCAATCGTATTATTTGCTTCCTGGCAGTCTTCTGACGACAGTGGATTTACCAAGGCCCAGAGTCCATAATGATAGGGATCCGTAAATAATTCAGATACGTATGGCAGTTCTTCGTAGGACTGTGTCAGGACTGTATGATATTCTGCTTCCATGGGTAACCTATAATCAAAAAAAGTAGAAATTTTCATTAAAATAATTTTAAATAAATTCTTCAATAACACAAAATTAAAAATCGTACAATAAAGTGATAAACGAAGGTCGATCTGTTGAACTTCAAAAATTGTACTGCACCGGCAGATTATTTAAAGGATTTCATCCTTTCTCCGATATAATCAGACATCCGATCCGATATTTACTTAGGATACAGCTTTTAAGACATTTCATTGTTGTCAGAAAACACTTAGCTTAAGGTACTGTTTTTAAGACTTTCTACTGGTGTTAGCAGAAAACACTAGCTTACTCTGTCAGCAATGAAATGTTAAAATTAACATTTGTAATAACGTTCATTACTTATGGTAAAAGCAAGCATTTTCTGCAGGAAGGAACGCCTTTAAACGGACTTGATCCGTTATACATACAGATAAAATAGTATACCTAACACATACCCCACCAAGATTCAATATATCCGTCTAAAATGTTTGAGATGCACGGTACAAATTATTTTTGTTTTTGTGTATAGTGGCTTTCTAGATGTAGTTTTGCTGAACCGCTTATGATTTTCATAAAGGCGATTTTTATGAAAATCACAAAAGGATTTTTTTATTAGAAATAGTCGTCATAATCAGCATCAGCAACTAGAAGGCAAAGATAAAAGATAGAGATAAATTTTATCCATTTTTCTATAGGTTAGAACCATCTAAAATGGAGACGTTAAAATTTAAACCAATTTTTGCAAAAATTATATTCTATATTATAAATCGATGGAATTTGAGATCTACCTAAAGATTTTAAGTGATGCTGGTTAATACTATGTAGCCAAATCTTTAGTAAGAAAATCTCTAAAAAGATTTTCTCTAAAATCACATTAAAAAAAATCATAACAGATCATCAAATTGGCAACGGGATCATCGTAACTAGTTCAGCAAGTACATCTAGGTGGCCACGATATTTAAAAAAATCATCCGTCCTGGTTCTTAATGAGCCACGCTGTATACACAATGTTTCTAAAATATAGTGCCAAACTGAAACAGGAGATAGAAAACATTATTTGAAACTATGAACACTTTTTTTTTAAATAACGCAAAAATGATTGATCATACCTATCGCAATTAAACAAGGCATAGATTTTTATATTGCCGATTGCAGAAATAATTTTTTCCTCATTTACAGTCACAGAGACGAGGGAAGTTCAGATTTTTTATCTTAAAATAATTTTTCGTGTCATATTTGGAAAATTAATTCATTTTTATGAGAGATAATTTTAAAAGGCACTATTGTTCGATCTTGATAATTTGCACCGATTCAGAGAAATTAGTCTACTGATGTAAATTGTCATTTTGTCATTATCGCACGATTCCATCTAGGAAAAACTGTACTGTATAGACGAATGTTTTTAAGACAATATATAAAAAAATAATCACAGCATGTTTGTGTTAACAAGGAAAAAAATCCCCTATAAGATAATTGCAATATATAATTTATAAGACCGTATACCGAGTTACATTTAGATCTTATCAACTATCTTGGATTTATTATTTTTTCTTTGAAATACAATTACGAATCAAATGAAATTAACTTATAGAATACTCAAAATACTCAGCGGCATAAAAATTCTAGGGTTCTCAACAGGGTGTCTCCCAGTATCTCCGTCACTGGTTAATAAAATTTTATGAAGATTAAGCGATTTTTTATCATTATTGAATTGTGGCACTAGCCCAATATTTATTAATCTAAGTCAAACATATTTCGAGATAATTAAATACGTATTTGTGATGTTTTTGAAATCCTTAAACACCGCATAACTTGCAAAGGAAGCAACTCATTGGACTAAGGTACATTTGGTTCAATTGTCATATTTAGCCAGAAAGTTATGTGGTTGGTAAGATCTGTGCTACTTCATTTAAATGTACTCTGATTTATTTTGATATAGCATAAGGAAGCTACATTATCAGAATATCTATTTTAATTACTTACATTGTTAAAGAACCTAATGTTGCGTGTTTTAAATCATGGCATTTATTTTCTTAGCATGCACTATATCGTCGTTACTCGAAATCCACCAGGAAAAATTGGTGAAAGTTAACAAATAGCAAATAGCTTTCCCGTAAAATAAAATTATAATATTTATTTATTTGCTTTAAAAAACGTATTTTACCGGAAAATCATTAAACTTTTATACATGGTGTTGCAATATACCGTCGGGAAAATTCTACAATTGATTTCTTATAATACAATAAAGAAAATGTGTTCATATGAATGTATAGGTCTGCAGACACTTCATTTTTGAGATAAACGGTGATAATTATTTTTTTTGTTTTTAGTTTTTCTCATTAACTTTTTAAGGTAATGCATTCATTCGGTATATGCAACACCTTTTTGAAGACTGATAGAATTTATGAATTATCGTTCGGAATAGTTCATCCTCTAGTTTCTCCAATTTTTTTTTGTTACGACGATATTCAGGCTTCTTGTGAGAAAAGACTTCTTTGATTTATCCTTTAAGTTTTTAAGACGTGAATTTATTTGTATCTTTAACTGTTTGAATTGTAATCATCAGTACAGGGAGTATTTAAATAAAGGAGCACAAATGCTATGAGTCAACCAAAATCTCATAATTGAGCCAAATATTATGTCGGTTCAACTGTTATAGGGTATTTAGCAAGAAAACATTAATTGACATTATTCTCTGTAGTATGTGTATAAAGTATTAAAATATACATTATATTTACTATACAGGGTGTCCCCAACTTAACGAGACACAGAGCAAGAGTAAATTCTCGTAACCAAACTTACGTTAGTTGTTAGTTCAAAATGGAAACTTAAAAATATACAGGATATCAAAAATAAAATTTTAAATTCAACATACTTTAAAGTGGTAGAAAGTTCTCAGTGGACTGCTCTGAAAATTTGGATTCGCGAGTTTTTTTTGAGAGGAGGGTAGTTACTTAACTTTGCCTAGACGCTACAAAATATACATAACTTATTTTTTCTCACCGTATTTATGCAATACATACTTTATTTGTGTAAAAAATCTAAGAGAACAATATTTTTCTTTTAAAACTCATACATAAAGTAAGAAAAAGTTGCCTTATCCACCAAGAGTACATTTTGTAATGCCCTCTAGCGTCTAAAGCAAAGTTAAGTATGGATTCGTTTTTCTCGTCCCAGAAAGCCCATGGGTCCAAGTTTTCACAGCAATTCATTGAGACCTTTCTAAAAATGTTAAGTATTTTCATTTCCAAATTTTAAATCTGACATCCTGTATCTTTTTAAATATCATCTTTTGGACTAAGGCGAATTTGGCTATATCGCATTATTTGGTCGTCAGGGATCCACTCTTACTCTATGTCCCATTAATTTCAGGATACACTGTATATCCTTAATTAATTAATTCTTGAAGTTATTAACTTCTGGGTTATTGGTCAAAGTAAATAATTTGTTTATTACGATCGTTTTGGGTTTTATCCCATCTTCAAATAACATCACAAAACATGGATATTTTTTTTTTATATATTCATATTAAAGTAAGTAAATGAAATATGAAAATTTTCACATTTCTTTTAGCAATTGACTTGTTAAATTCTATAAATTGTTTGACAATATAATAGAAAAAATTGTAATAGTATTATGTTTTGCATAATATGTTTAAAGAGAAAGATTTTAAACAATCTTGTTGACCAATACTTTAATAATTGCATAGGGAAAAAAATTGTATCCATGTTTTGTGATGTTGTTATCTGAAGATAGGATAAAACCCAAAACGATCGTAATAAACAATTGTTAAAAGGAAAAATAGTATTATAAACAAATTATTTACTTTAACCAATAACCCAGAAGATTAATAACTTCAAGATTTAATTATATGGCCAGGAAATTATATACTTAATTAGTTATCAAAATTTTGTTACACTGAAGATATATATATTAGGTACGAATATTTGAGGAGCAAGATAATTTATTTTCATCGGTTTCAATATATTTATTTGTTTTCTAGAATTAAATAATTATTTATATAAAAAAAATTTGGAGAACAATATGGTATGTAGTACCGAGTTGGATAAAAAATATTTATTGGATGAAACTATATATTTAGTATTATACAATTATAGTTGTATTCAGTAATAACGAGCGAAACGATCCATGCAATTCCAAATACTTCGATACAAGAAATTTATTCCTGAGAATTAAATATTACTACACAAAGAATTAATCTGCAAGTTAAGCACAGTTTAAAAAGTAGTGTTGATGCAATTGTCCCTTAATACGCAACAACGAACAACAAACGGAACATGTAGACTAAAACAGCATCAGCCATTACTGAGCATGAATGGTGTAAGGTATAAATGTTCATTATGGATAAAATGAGTAGTTTATTATCCAAAAAGGTTAACCTTATAAATAAGGTTTGCAAAGTTTCACTGAAATTATTTAATTGTTCGATTTGTTAATCGAATCTTAATCAGAACTGAAAATATTGGCCGAAGTAACAAAAATTTGTTTATTGAGTAACAGAGTTCTGTTTTATTTAAAATGGTTATATCGTCAGTTTAAATTATATTAAAAAATAGTGTAGTCAAAGAATCATCTATAGAATTTTATTGCAACATCGTATAAAACTTATTCGTACGTATTTTTATAATTTTAAATTTATTTTTAGAAATAATGTTTTCAAATTGAACCATACCCAATCATCCATCTAACCACAACGTAGTCCCTAACCATGTAGTAACTTAATCCTGATTTAAAATCAGTTTCTAATCCGGTAGACATGCCCAGCTTTTGTCCGATTAAAGTAACATTAACCGTCGAGGAAACGTTCTATAAAGATAAAAAAAGATGTTTAATAATTACTACTTTTATAAGTCACACTTACAATTTCTTTCTCCGATTCGTTTGATGATGGTTCCTCCGAACTTCTAACATCATGTAAATTTATTGAAAATAATTCCAAACTTTTTCTTCCAGTAATATACATAAATGAATCCGTTTTTGATATCGCTAAATAATCTGCATTGATCGAAATAGCAGGGTTACTCATGTCTCGTAAGGTCAATTTCCTCCATTTTAAATTGTTTGATGAAAATACTAAGAGTGTACTATCACCTGCAGCATAATGCAATATTTCTTATTAAAACGAACGTTTTGCTAACCTCTTTATGTTATTTTACATTATATCAAAATTTATTTTTATTCAGTTAATTAATTTTAATGAGGATATTTATTTGAAGAAATAATACTATGAACCTTGATAACTTATAATCTGCTTAAAATATTTAAAAGTTTGCCCAAAAACTCAGTAGATAGGTTTAGCATTAAACAAAATTTAAGCGAAAAGGAATAGTCCACGGGCCCACATACAAAAAAATAAATGATTACCAGCAAGCTGTAACTTTGCCTGCAGCTTAAGTTTGACGAGTCTCCCAAGATTTGACTATGAGGAAAATTCAACAGTGGTGTTTTCTCGTGATTTTCAGGAAAACATGTCAATCTGGCATAGACATGGAATGTTATGACCAGCACTTTTTTTAAAATTAAATGAAAGATATAAGTTTTTAAACCCCCCAAAAAATTTGTCCGACAAAAATTTTGGTATTTTAAGTTTGTCCCCCACCCCAAATATGTCGATTTGGTGACATCATGGTTGGTGACAACCAGCAAGCTGATTTTTCTGGGAGGGTTTGGTAATAAGATTTGAAATGAAAGTATCTTATTGTCTGACAAAATTCTTGAGAAGTTTTTACAGATGTACGCCCCGTAGATGTTGATTTAACGACAACATGGTTGGTTATAACCAGCTGTCGGACAAAAGCGTCATTATTTAAAAAAACGCAATATTAATCTGAGAATTTAATTGTCCGACAAAATTATCGGTTTTTTCTTGCTTGTCCTACAAAATTAAACGATAAAATTTTGCGGTTTCAATACTTAAACATGTCGTAGAAGAAAAATTTATATTTAATACAAAAACATATATGAATCAAACAAATTTTGTTTAAACTTTTCAAATTTCAAAATAAATATGACTAATTTAAAATCATCTTTTTATACAATTACAAAAAAAATGTATAGAGGGTTACAGGGTGTCCCGTTCATGTTTCAAAAAAGCTTGTGTGCAAGTTCGTCATGGGAAAATAATAAGGGTAGTTCATGTAAAATTATTTTCTTAGACGCCCTGTTTTCGAGATACAGAGTGTTGAAGTTGTTACTTTCCAAATGGTTATCCTTCTTCTTTAAATCGGCTAAAGATAAAAATATCAAAATTTGTACTCGAGTAAACATCAACTGCGCGTTAAGAATAATGTGCAAACGGTTTCTTTCTGAAAAGCAGTGTCGCCAATGCAGGTAATTGGAGGGGTACAACCGAAAAAAAAAAGTTAAAAGTCAAAATTGTTTACATTTCTAAATGGTTCTGTAAACTCTAAAGCATACTACAAAAAAAGGTAAACTTGTCGAAATTCGGTAGCATGTACCGTTTTCGAGGAAAAAAGCGGCACAAGTACATTAACAAAATATTAAATTGAAAAAGGACTTTAGCATTGAATGAGCTGAAGACATTTAGCTACCAACAGTATTTGCATTTAAGACTATAATTTTAATTTCTTACGCATCACATGAAACAGTTAAATTTATAAAACACTTTATTAGTTAAAAAAAAATCAAATTTATTTTAAGTTTCAGCTTGTTGTAAACTAACATTTATAAAAGTAAATTAAAATAAACAAATTATGGTAATTAATTGTATATTAATAACTAATTTTAGATTTTGTAAACTACAACACTACCACTACTAAAATAAACAATTGTTGAAAGAACTGATTTGTTGATGGATATGAATGCTTAAAAAAGTGATAAGAATAGCAAAATATTAGGAAACAGACTCGGAGACATACAGAACAAAACAGCTGCATAATTAAATAAATGAGCAAAACTGGAAATACTGCAGTAGGTGCTGAAATTGTCCCCTATTTGCTTCTATGCAACTTCATTTATCTAGAAAATGGTACATGCTACCGAATTTCGACAAATATATATTTTTTTTTTGTAGTAAGCTTTAGAGTTTACAGAACCATTTAGAAATGTAACAAAATTTGACTTTTAACATTTTTTTTTCGGTTGTACCCCTCCAATTACCTGCATCGGCGACACTACTTCTGACATTTTGAGGATAATCATTTGAAAAGTAACAACTTCAACACACTATATCCCGAAAACGCGCGTCTAAGAAAAAAATTTTACATGAACTACCTCTATTATTTTCCCATGAGGCTTCAAAATATTTTTAAAATTGCTTTAATTGTTTTTTCAAGAATTAAACTATGTGTAAACTGTTTGTCAAAACAAGATTGCAAATTTTAATTTAAATAAACACAAGCAAAAATTTATGCATTCATTTTACAGTTGCCATTTTTTATAAAATAGTCACAATAGTTTATAAAATAAAATGTACATATAAGTTTTTTGAACAAAGAAATCATTTTGATGGAAATTAATTAAATTAATTTTTATAGACATAATTATTTATGAATTTCTGTTGCTCCTGTTAACAAGATAATTTTCTTATTCTTTATTTTTTCATTAAAAATTTATTATTATTTTATAGCGGAATGAACATTATGTACCACAAAAATAGTTATCTTTCCCATTTTTAAGGCAAATTTTCCATTCTTTTTGGCGGACAAATATATTATTGTATTATACTTTTCAATTATTAGAGAAAAAAATCAAAACCAGATTGCTGGTTATCACCAATCATGTTGTCGTTAAATCGACATCTTCGGAGCGTCGGACTGCAAAAACTTCTCAAGAATTTTGTCGGACAATAAGATACTTTCATTTCAAATCTTATTACCAAACCCTCCCAGAAAAATCAGCTTGCTGGTTGTCACCAACCATAATGTCACCAAATCGACATATTTGGGGTGGGGAAAAAACTAAAAAAACAAAAATTTTGGACGAAAAAATTTTTGGCCGGGTTAAAAAAAATATATCTTTCATTTAATCTTAAAAAAAAGTGCTGGTCATAACATTCCATGTATATGCCAGATTAACATGTTTTCCTGAAAATCACGGAAAAACTTACCACTGTTGAATTTTCCTCATAGTCAAATATTAGGAGACTCGTCAAACTTAAGCTGCACCCAAAGTTACAGCTTGCTGGTAATCATTTTTCTTTTTGTACGTGGGCCCGTGGACTAGAAATGATTACACTGATAAACATAAATACCTTATCACTGTAAAAAATTATTTGTGAATTGGAACGAGAAAATGTCTCTTGTCACCAAGAGCTCGAAAATAGATACAATGTTATAAAAGTGGTGCTTGAAAAACTTCAGTGAGTTACGAGATCCAAATAAAATTTTACACGGTGTAGATATGCGAAAGTTTTTTTCTCTAATAAAATTGCTTGTGGTGTTTTCAGAAAAATAATACATTTTTGTGAAGGGGCGTCTCAAAATATAAAAAAATGTGTTTTTTATGACAATTTTCTTTCTACGATGTCTAAAGTGTCATTGCTTGATACCAATTAAAATAATTGGGAAATATACTAATAACTTAAACTAAATAAAATATGCCCCACACATATCATTTTTTTTAAGATTCATATACTCAGATGTGTTACACCACATCAAATATATTTTAACGTCTTATACGTTACTTGAGTAGATGTCCAGAAAATTTCTCATCTAATAATTACCTGCATTTCCTATGTATATCCTAGAACCAAATTCACTTTGTTGAGGATCTATTGTAATAACGTTTAAATTTTCTCTGGGAACATTCTGCAATTCACTTATTTCGGATATAGTATTAAAAATAACGTTATAAGACAAAATTTTAGGGTTGCAGAATTCATTGCCTTTATCGAGAATCCAAAGTTTAGGTTTTCTTGGTTCCATATCTAGAGATATTGCGTCTTGTATCTTATCGCATTCTTTCCGTTTTTGATATTCCAGAATATTGAACCTATAAAGTAGGATCCTGATTCATCGTCACATTGATTTAAATATTGTCGTTATTTATGTGTTACGTAAATTAATCTAAGGGTTCGTGTTAACATAGTAGTTATTATAAAAGAGGTAGCTTAAAGTATCTTCATAGAATATAAATCATCAAGAAAATCCATACTACTATAGTAAATAGAAAGTATCCGCTTTGAAGTTGTGTCAAACTTTCTTATATGGTTGACAATTTGAAAGGAATTACCAAATTTTAGGTAACATTTTCCCAGTTGTAAAGATAATTAGAATGTAAATGTCGAGTTTTAATATAGTATGTATTTAAACAATCTTGGACAAGACATGGGACAAAACAGTGTATCCCATATAGTAATTTGATCCTGTGAACCAGAATTTAAAGTCAGAATTTCCGGGTCTGTGCATGTTTTGACCCTAACATTAAGACACTCCTCTAGAAAGCGGATGACTTTAAGGAGAATCTTAAAGTCATCTGCAATTTTTCGAGAATCTTAAACTTAATTTTGACAGAGGCACGTGCATGTTTAGATTTTCTGTAATATTTGAAGTAAATCTAATTAATATTTGAATTATTTTCGACGATTTTAGGAGAAATCGATAGTAGATATTTTCAAATGAAATACTTCATAATATATCCCATAAGACTTTCATAAAGCAAACACAAAATATAAGTACATATTTGAATTTAATTTATCACACTGTATTAATATTACATTTAAATTTTAGATTGTTTCATTTTTTACTTTTTTTCAGTATATAATTTTATAGAAAATATTTAATAAAAATTATGAAAACTTACCTAAAATGACTTGACGCCGGTTGCCTAAAACTACCTGTCCAAGGCACTTCTACCACCGTTGGGTTACTAATATTATTGTGACAGCAACTTCTAGGCAACGCTAAAAAGGCTCTCGCCCTGTATATCGCGATGCTGGAAATATAATAATTTTCATCTATTCCGAAATAATTTAAGTCCCAACTATATGCTATAGCAAAAAGTATACATAGAGAAAATATTTTCTCCATTATGTTTTATTTCTTGTACCTATCAGAGTTTGTAATTCAATTAAACATACTGCTGTGAGTTTTTGCGAATAACTGCAAGATATGTAATATTTAAATATATTTGTGCTTAGCATTGCTAATAAAGCACTTTTATATGTACAAACTATTATACAGAGTGTCTCAAAATTATCCTGTAATAATTCACTAGCACTTTCTATGATTAAGAAATAAGTTAATATAAATATAAATGGAAATTAGGTATATCCGAAGTTGTTTAAAATGGAACCAAGATGGAACCATAAAATTTGATGATATGAAACTAAGAATTAGGTACTATTAAGTTTCAAATCTGAAAAATAACTTCTAAATTTTAGTCAGCAGCATCACAAATTTGGGAAATAATGATTAAAATTTTTTCAATTCTTTATTGGTCTGAAATTATCCACCACGCTTTTATGACACACAGTAACTTCTCATCGGAAACAAAGAAGAATATTTTATTTAAAAAAAAACTTCATGGAAAAATAATACAACGCCATCTAGGAAAGTGCAAACCTTCTAGTTATATTTCAAGTCATACATAAATTTGGTTCCTGAGAAAGTGAGTTTACAAAATTCTGTGAAAGTGGAAGCCGCTTTAGGAAGTCTTTTACAGTCCTTATTTGATCCTCACTTTTTTTACCATGCACACTGTTACGAGGACGGTGTCGTCTTCATAACAATGTGTGCCGCCCTATGCGGAGACAACGACATATTGTTCAAAGGAAAAAAAAAAGTAAAATATACTCTTATTTTTTTTTCAATAACGCATATTTCTACAAGATTAAAACAGTCCCTTTTTGTAATTGAAAATAATGCGTATAACAATCTCATTCCATTCTCTAACTTTATAACCAATGTTCTCTATCTCTACAAAAATATGTAAGTATATTGCTGGTTGCATAAGAAAAAGGAAATCGGTTTCTAGTGGCTCTTTTAAAATTAATCTGGTGCTTTCTGCCTTTCTGCTTTCTTAACTGCGGCCTAGTGTCATGCTATTCGAACTTCCTGGCAACACTGTTCTTTAGAAGCGGGAAGCGGGTGAAATATGAATCTTTGAGGTTAAGTAAGCACTAAATTTGTTTGTTTTGGTGTAGGTGCAATTTAAATTTATTTGGTTTATTGGGTACAATAGTATTACATTAATTTTAGTACTTAATTAATTTATTAAGAATGAACAAAGCGAAGAAAACGGAATATAAGAAAATTTTAGTAAGAAATACAGAAAAACCTGTTTCAAAAAGCAAAGTAGTTATAGAAGAATCCAAAACATCCTTAAAAACAGCTTGTACTGAGAATATTGCTCCACAGAAAAAACCAGACAAACCAATAGAAAAAAGATGTGAGGTTAGTGAAACCAATTTAGATTTACCTGAACTTTATTCAACATTACGAATATCCAAGAAAATTGATAATGTTGTAAAACCAAGAAAAACAAAGAGCTGTTCTGATGTTGATAAAAAACTAGCGGTTGATGAAAAGGTAACTATTTAATGTTTCTAATTACAGTCTCTAATGAGTTTTTTCCAGGTTACGAAAAAAGTTAATTTTCCATATGACCAGACGGTTTATAAAGACTTAATTCCATTGACCTATAGAAAAGTTCAGATGCAGCGCCCACCCTCAAGACCTCCTCTTCCTCAAAAAGACATAGAACCGGTTCTCTCAGATTTCCTTACTCCAAGGCAAAGTACAGAAAAGCAGTCCTTCTACGCACCAACTGTTAAGGTGGAAATTGAACCTGTAATAATTAGTTGTGACAATTTGAGATTATATAGAACTCTACAAAAATATAAATAAAACTTTAATAATAATATAATAAGATTGTAGTTATTAGTAGGTATAATATATTGTGTTAATCTTTGTTTAATTTTGATTGAATATATAAATTTTGTACACTGTACGTTTTTAAGAATTTTCAAAAAAATAAATTATCTATTGATAAGTAATTAAAATTGCAATAGTTGGGTATTATTCAGTATCATTTTTATACATGTAAAGTTAAGAGATTGTTACTCAATTATAATTGATCACAATTTTAATATTAAGAATTTGTATTCATATGTAATTATTCTAAGAAATATAGTATTAAAATCTGCAAAATAGTACTTTATTGAATGAATATAACACAGAACAAGTTTAAATTTTATTAAAAGCAGCGATATCCACGGACTGAACAAAATCCTCGAATTCTTGAATCTTCTCTACAAGTTCATCGACAGAAACTTTGGCATCCTCGACCACACACATAATTTGAAGTTTTTTAATGCCATAACCTACTGGAACAAGTTTTGAAGCTCCCCAAATTAAACCATCCATTTCAATAGTTCTAGTGGCCTTTTCAAGTTCTCCCATGTCTGTTTCATCGTCCCATGGCTTAACGTCGAGAACGATGCTGGATTTGGCAATAAGTTCAGGTTTCTTTGACTTCTTCTCGGCATATGCCTTAAGTCTTTCCTCTCGAACTCTCTCTGCTTCTGCATCTTCTTCTTCATCGGATGCAAAAAGATCGACATCATCGTCGTCATCAGCGGCAGCTGGAGCTGGAGCTGGAGCAGTTGTTGTAGTTCCGGTTTTCAATGGACAAGCAGCCGAAATTCCAGATTGTTTCAGTTCATCAGGCGAAAACGATTTAATATGGTTGTACCAACGAAGAGCATGGGGAAAATTGGCAGCTGGCGCTTTTGGTAACTGCTTAAATGTTTCCACATCCCACTGACTTACGGAATATCTAAATAGAAAAATAAAATAGAAAATATCCCATCAAAATTTTTATAAAAATACATACCCACTGATATAACTTTTATCCTCAAGGAAAGTATTGAGTTCTTTGACACCTTTGTCAGTATTCAGGTCTCCAAAAGTCATTTTTTAGTTATGTATAGAAAAATCTGTTCAATACGACTTTAACTCAACCTTCTTCGAAGAGTGTACCGGATAAAAGAATTTTTATTTTTTAGGTTGACTTCTGTCAAATAGATTTCCGCACCGGCGCATTAAACAATTTTTCGAGAACATACGTTGACCTACTTATGCACATCTCGGAATGGCATCACCCATTGAATTTCGAAATATTTTTATCGACGCTTAAACAATCTTCAATATATTTATTTAATTCTAAGTAAATTCAATATTTATTAATCAGGATTCGTTGTTCCTTATTTAATTTTGCGTTATACGCTTTACTAACTTTTAAGTTAATAATCATGGTGACTCGTGACGTCCCGTTGTTAGTGAAAAATAGACTCGCGAAGGAGCAATGTCAGTGGTGTCAAACGTCAACATGTATTTATAATCTAAAATATTTTATGTAATTAACAAAATAGTTCAGGTATATTAATAGTTTTGTTATTAGAAGAAAATGTACTTTAGGCCTCTTACTGCTTTCTTTTAAAATTATTATCTGGATAAGTTAGGTTAAATAAACGGTTATTATGTAATATAACTAAGCTACATATTTTTTTCAATAAATTTTAGAAATGCTGCGTGTAACATTTGGTAAAATTCTGAACGGGGCAAAATTGAGCCCCAAACATATATGCGTCGCTACAAGAACCCAAAGCGGTGAAGTAAAGAAACCTGAAAAGATAGAAGTCTTTATCGATGATAAACCTGTTTATGTAGAACCAGGTACAACAGTATTACAAGCGGCTGCTTTGGTTGGAGTAGAGATTCCAAGATTCTGTTACCATGAACGACTTGCAGTTGCTGGAAACTGTAGGATGTGTCTTGTTGAAGTGGAAAAATCCCCCAAACCAGTTGCAGCTTGTGCTATGCCTGTGATGAAAGGTATAACCTCAGGAATAGTGTTAGATATGCTACGTTATGATTTCTCCAAAATTCTACTATATGAATACTTTTAGGTTGGCGTGTAAAAACTGATTCGGAAATGACCCGAAAGGCTCGAGAGGGCATAATGGAATTTTTGTTGGTAAACCATCCTTTGGATTGCCCTATTTGTGACCAAGGCGGTGAATGTGATCTTCAGGATCAAAGTATGGCCTTCGGTTCAGACCGTTCTAGGTTCGTTGATATTGACTTCTCTGGAAAACGTGCCGTTGAAGATAAAGACATCGGTCCTCTTATCAAAACTATAATGACAAGATGTATCCATTGTACAAGGTGCATCAGGTTTGCTTCAGAAGTTGCTGGGGTTGACGATTTAGGTTTGTGTGAAATCAATAAATTAAATTAATGGTACTATAATTTAATAGATGTATAAATTTTTTTTTTTTTAGGGACCACTGGTCGTGGAAACGATATGCAAGTGGGCACATATGTAGAAAAATTGTTCATGTCTGAATTGTCTGGAAATATAATAGATTTGTGTCCAGTAGGAGCTCTTACTAGCAAACCCTATAGCTTCACTGCTAGACCTTGGGAAATCCGTAAAATAGATTCTATTGATGTTTTAGATGCCGTAGGATCAAATATTATTGTTTCAACTAGAACCGGTGAAGTCATGAGAATAGTACCAAGAACTAATGAGGAAATAAATGAGGAATGGTAAGTATTGAGTGATATATGTTTGGAAATCGCAAAAATAAAATATATAGAAATTTCAAAATTTAGCTGTGTATTAGTGATAGTGCAAGGAATGAACATCAGAAAAGGTCACACTTTTTTGATGAATAAAGCGATCCTGTTTCCAGGAAAAAAATCACCCTTATTGCTGGTTTTTCTATTTTCATGCCAATTTTTTTTCCAATGACAAAAATTAATAGGAATAAAAATAATCCCTATTTTTCATAAAAAAATGTTCCATCCTTGTTTGTCTAATTGTCAGTGAATTCACACAATGTACAATCGAAGTTGAAGGATCAAAATGATCAATTATAAGGAAAAATGTACAGCAGTATTTCTTCTGCAAGATACAAATATTGCAATGTCTTAATCAATTTTTCAAAAACAGCATTGTCTGTACAAGAATATTTTGTGTAGACTGTGGATCTTGGCACTCGAACGGCCATTTAAAATTTGTTTGGTACAATAATGGTGTGATGAAAGTGATTTTTGCATAAAATTTTGGACACCATATTTTGCGATAATCAGTCGATGTGCAGTTCCTTATAATAATAATGATAATTAATTTCTATAGATGATGTGATACATTTTGCAGAATAAGTCAGATCCTTATTAGAACACTACATAGCACAACGAAAAAATGAAAGAAAATTAAGGATCCAGACGAGACAGTAAAATTCTAGATAATGGGACAATAAAACTGTGATCTATTATAGATTTTTATTAACAGAAAACACTTTTAAAATTTTTCAAATTAACCACCTCTCTAACACACTGGCAGTGTATTAAATTCTAATGAGAATCTAATTTATAATATTTAAATGTGCAAAGCGACCACATATATCATATCCATGTTTTGTAATCATTGAATGAACATCTACATATCTTTAATACTTTTTTAATGGGTATTTAGTGAAAGATTTTCTTCTATTAGTTTTAGAATTTCTTCATTTATTCAGTGCCTCCACGAGCTGATAAATAGATTTTGTGTCGTGAAATGTTTGGACAATTTTGCACATACTGCTTTGTCACCTTTGTCACTTTTTTAGTTTTAAATTTTGGGCTTCGAATACGGGCCTTTTGCCATGTAAATCAAAATCAAAATCTTTTTGAGCAAAAGAATTAAATATAAAAATCACTACAAAATTAAAAACGAACAGGTATTTTAATTTAACAATTCTTCATTTGTGTCAAAACTTTCATAAAATTTAAGAAAAAAAAAAAGATCCTCAAGTCTTCGTCAGTAGCCAATCTCTAATAATAAATTTTTTCTGGTTGCCGTCACAGCAGGAAACACACATCTTGGATTAAGCAAGTTAATTTGAATGATTTAGTTTCATGAACACAAAAATACAGAACTTGTAATGTCTCATAGAAACCTATACTGCTAAAGTGTCTCCTTGAAGTTAGGGTGCAATCCTGATACTCGTACATTTTTTATTTTTTCCAGTACACAATTTTAGATAATTATGTGACAATTTTTTGAGGAGAAAAGTTGCCATTGTTACTCTTTTGCATCCAGAATGCAACAAAATATAAAACTGGGTTGCTTTGGAATTTTACAAGTAGTCTTTTATGTGGTGCCAAGTTCTAATAAATTGCTTGGTACAAAAGAAAATGATTGAAAAAGAGATAATGCTTCTTCTGGTAGTGTAACTAAACAGTAAACGTGGTACACATTTTAGGCACATTTTTTTATAAATTTTTAGAAAAATTAACAAATTCTTTGACTTTTCACCTTTAAAAATACTGTTCCATTTATTTGTCATTTTCAACATTAATGATAAGAGTTAAATTTTCCAAACTAGGTTAGCCGATAAGTCCAGGTTCGCCTACGATGGACTTAAGCGACAAAGACTTGTCACACCGATGATAAGAGATTGCAACGGTGAATTAAAACCTGTCGACTGGGAGGCTGCACTTTTAACTGTTGCTAAAGTCATTAAAAATGCAGGTAAGACAAATTTAATAAGAAGTGTTGTTACATGTCCTTATATTTTCAATATTTTTTAGGGCCTCAAATTGGAGCTATAGCTGGGGGCCTGGCAGATGCAGAAGTCCTTGTAGCTGTCAAAGACCTTCTTAATAGGTTAGGCTCTGAAGCTCTATGTACCGAACACACATTCCCCTTAGACGGATCTGGTACCGATCTTAGGTCAAGCTACTTATTAAATAACAAAATAGCTGGGGCAGAAGAAGCAGATTTAGTTCTTTTAGTGGGTACTAATCCTAGACTTGAAGCACCTCTCTTGAATTCAAGGCTTAGAAGGGGCTACATACACAATGAACTCCAGGTTAGTATAAATATGATCCAAAAATGTTATGTTTTCTAGTAAATTTGATTTTCATGATTACATTTTATATATTTTGAATTGGATCTTCACTTTTATTGAATTTCAAATGTTTTCCGTATACAGTATTTAAAAGAAAGTAAATAATTAGTAGTAGCCATATAAATGGCGTAGTTGGGAAGTCGCACGATAGATGGAGCATTTACGCTCTGTTTATATTTCCTTGTTGTGAGTATACGACACTATGTTAATATTGGGGGTTTCCCTGCCTCGGCTAGATTGAAACTCTATATATCGTGGATATCAAAATAATGTGTGCTTAGAATGAAAGTAGAGATTTGCGGGACACAAAATATGAAAATACGGTAGTTATACAAGAAAATTGACAAGAAAAACTGACAAGTAAAGCGACTTACCTTGTGTCGGCTTATCTTATAGACTGGTCTCTGATCTCGGATTGAATCTGGTAGCTTGTAGTACAGCGACGTTTCGTGTAATCCACAATTTTTACACTTCACTTCACTTAGGAAAGGACAACAAGGATTGTAGGAATGAAACACTGAATTTATGGCTTTAACACACTGATTCTCAAATTTCGGAGACAGAAGAAGGACGCTATTTACATCAGAGCGTGACGTAGCACTTTCGTAGAATGTTCGTATGTTATACGTGGTAATGTCGTGAATGAATTTAACGAAGATTATTTGATTTGTAGGTTTGTAAAGATGCTGGATATCGTAGTTGATGTACAGAATGTATCTGTTTGTTGAAATGTACATAGAATGTTTATTAAAGTTCACTTTTAACTGTTCGTTGAGTACAAGAATGATTTAAAGAATTAATAGTTGAACTAGTCATTATTTCGTTAATTCGACTCCACTCAACTGACTGACTGACTAACTGATTTCTGGACGGCTATTTATAGGTTTCAGCGCGGTAGACGTAGGCTCTGCCTCTCGCTTCTTTCTGAACTCTCGTCTCCTATTGGTTCACTTGCGCATTTATAACCGCAGGACGCAATTTGTAGCAATTATTTTATTTCAGGCACGCTCGAGTGTATATCTGTTAACAACTAAAACAGCTGGATCGTTTGTCAGTTGCCTCACCTACGGCATACTGATGAGGACCAATAAGTCCGAAACCGGTCTATGCCAGGTGGGTTAAACTCACGAACGATCCTAGCTGTTGCACTAGGTGTTGCGAGTATAATTCAATGCCGGTAGAGGCATATAGCCTGCAGAGTAGTTGTTTCTCGCAACACTGGCAATTTAAATATCCGGTTTTAAAGTTTTTGAAAAACATTTTATCTGCTCAAATATATGCAAAGATGTTTGACATGATACTGTTTTTGAATAATATTACATCACGTCAAACAGCTTTCAAGATATCTGCATAGATGTGACAATTTTCAAAAACTTTAACATCCTGTATCTCAAATACAAAAGTTGCTTAAGATGTAAGTTTATATAATTTTTTTTATTTTGCTGAGTATATTGCGCTCCCAAAATAGAGGCTCACATTTTTATTACAACCTGTATATGTAATAAACTATCAATATTTTTAATAATCCTTATGTTCCTTTGATGAAAAAATCGACCACCTTGCCTGATTAAAAATATTGTATTTTTCGTCATGTTTGTTGTCAAACTTTATCCTCATTCCAAAATTTTTTCAGTAACTTTGCATTATTTAAAATAAACTAAACTTTTCATTTTAAGGCAACAGAAAATCATTAAAATTTGTTATTTGTGTTTTTTTATATAAGATTTGTATTTGTTTTATTTATTTGAGGCATTAAGAATGTTTGGTTTTATCAATATTCACTAGGTGGCTTTGATTGGTCCAAAAGTTGATTTGCGCTACGACTACGAACATTTGGGCGATGACACGAATGTGCTCAAAGAAATCGTCGGTGGACGTCACCAATTCAGCAGTAAATTGAAATCGGCCAAAAAGCCTTTAATAATCGTTGGATCAGAGGTATTGGAGAGATCAGACGGTGCTGCGATTTTATCGGCTGTTCAAACTCTTGCCCTTAACACAGCCAGTGAAGATAAGGAGTGGAAGGTTCTCAATATCTTACATAAAGTTGCTAGTCAGGTAAATAAATTTTAAACATTAATTTTCATTGTTTTGTTCAAATATGTTTTATTTTAGGTAGCAGCGTTTGATATTGGCTACACTCCAGGTGTCGACAAAATTAGAGAGGGTAATTTGAAAGCCTTGTTTTTAATTGGCGCAGATGAAGGAGCTATTGATAAAGCAGACTTACCTAAAGATTGCTTCGTGATTTACCAAGGTGAGTTTTGAATTTAATTAGGTACAACAAAATATATAGAAATTAGTGGTGTTTTTCTTTTGTGGAAATTAAAAAGTAAACATAGTGCAAGAAACGCACTGTTACCATTTAAATATAAATTGCCAGTCATTTTTTGCTCAAAAACATAATTTACGAGGTCTGTTTAAAAAGTATCCAATATTTGGCTGGGAAAAATATATTATTTACATGACAGGATTGAGATTTTAATCCCCTTCAAAGCCCCCCTTGCGCTTCACACATTTAGCCCATCATTCTTTCCACTACCAAAACGAAAACACTTCTAAAAATAGTGTTCAATTTCGCCGTCACGTTCTGCATTATCTCTTCTTTACTCTAAAAACGGGATCCTTTCAATGGCATTTTTAATTTTGGAAACAACCAGAAGTCACAAGGAGCCATGTCTGAAGAGTAGGGTTGGTAGTATCCAGTTTGTCCTGTGCAATTGCAAGACGGAGTTCTTTCTGTTTCACTGACAAAAGCTTGCACACAAATTTCGCAGCCACTCTGCCCATGTTCAAATCATCACGCAAAAAACGTGCGGAATCTTTACTATTCTCGACTTCTTCAGCAATCTCTTGTATGGTCAAACAAGGATCTCCTATTATTAGATCTTTTACTCTCTCAACAACAGCTGCATTCCGAGCAGTTTGTAGCCTCCCAGAACACTGATCACTCTCCACCGATGTCCTGCCAGTTTGGAATCGATTGAACCACTCCTTTATTTGTGTTACTCCCATAGCATTGTCTCCAAACACCTGCTGAATCTTACCAATTGTTTTGCTTTGACAATCACTAAGCTTTTGACAATGATGCAGTACTTTGTTCAACTCGTTCAGTCATTTTAAGAGAAATCAAAATCAGACGAACATTTATAAGAACAATGTATTCGACGGTCAGTAGGCAACGACTGACTCACCAGAATGCCGAGAAAAAATACATGTTACCTACTGCGCATTTTGTTTAACGTGTAAAATATCTGAAAGTATCTCGTTGCAAGCTATAAATTGCTGTACAGCTTTAATAGCGGCTTCAATGGTGTTACTCACAGCCATAAAATCGAGAAGTGGGTTCCACTGTGGATTGTAAAAACGCTCTCGAGGCTGTTTAAACCTCTAGCAATATAGAAAGAGATATCATATAAACTCCTATACCTCTTTCTCCCTAAACCTCCGCTACACTCTCGGCCACTGCGACACTGCCTCCAGTAGTATATGCTCTAAGGTTTAAACCTTTCCACAGATCTGCCAACTATAAAATAATAGGTTGGGAATAAGCAAATCTCTATAAAAGTAACTACAATTCCCGCAATTTTGTTGCATGGAATAGAGCATGTTCTAATTCATGCAATTCAGTTGCCTTGACAGAATTACTTAGTCTGATAAGAAAATCATGAATTTTATCGCGGCAACCAAATTGCATTGTCAGATACAGGCTTTACTGACAAATCAAGCAAATTCACGAACGATAGAAGTATTTTAATTTGTATAATTCAAAATGAACTGTTACATAGCATATTATTAATTGTTTTCAACTAATGTAATTCTAGGAAACGACTGCTCCACGTGCTATAAGCTCCAACTCGCATTGAATTACACCCGAATATTTTTATTTTTTATTTTTTAATACACCACTTTAACCCAGCTTATAAATGAACCTACTCGATATCGTATTAATAACAAACCTTCAATACTTGACCTCGTCCAGCCAATAATGAATAACTTATATCTAACATAGAAGTAGGCCCAATAAAAGTTTATTAATTTTTTGACATCCTGTATTTTTGAGATGAAGTATCTACAGACCTGTTTTCATTTCACTTTTCTTTATGCTTGTTTTGTCTTGAATAATGTCTTTGAAATATTGAATAGAGTGTGCACTGTGCATTGACATCAAAATATTTCTAATTAAATTTCAACAGGTCATCACGGTGACCAAGGAGCCTCCATTGCTGATGCTATCCTACCTGGTGCTGCATATACTGAGAAGCAAGCAACTTATGTAAATACAGAAGGAAGGGCGCAAGAAACCTTAGTTGCCGTAACAGCACCTGGTCGGGCGAGAGAGGATTGGAAGATAATCAGGGCACTTTCCGAGATCGTCGGAGCTAAATTACCTTACGATAACTTAGACGAAATTCGTGACAGACTGGAAGAAGTCGCACCACATTTAACGAGATACGGGTCTGCTGAAGACGCAAACTATTTTAAACAAGCAGAACAACTAGCGCAGGTATGTTTATTAGTAATATCCTTCCTTTTTGAAAATTCCTATCTCGAACCTAAGCCTTATGTATTAATCACTGTAGGTTACTCTCGCTCCCACAGACACCTTCAAAATTGACTAACTTGCTATAACTAAGGCCTTTTCTGCGAGTGGTGAAGCGGTTAGCCAAGGGGCACTATGCATCCTTTAGCTCTTCTTTTGCTGAATAGCTGTAGTTTAGTTGAGGTTTTTCGTGTTTTCTAAGATAAATTTCCTTTTAGCCGAAAATCGGTAATTTTCTGTGTGTATGTGTGTGTGTGTGTCTGTGTGTGGAGAAAGATGCCACGGTGAGTCGTTACTTTGCCTTACAATACGCAGATCTTTCGGAGATGATATTCTAGACACAAAACTTAATTTGAACATTTCAAGATTCCTATTTACACCTGCGGTAACCCAAACTCCATATAAGCTCCATCCATAGGTAGGCTGTCATAGCTCAGTTTGTAAGCTCGCAACTGCTAATGTGAAGGTTTGCAGGTCTAATTGTAGATGAGCTAGATTTTTTTTATATTGCCATAAAAAAATTTATTTTATAAAACGGAGACATTTTTTATATTCACTTTCACACATTACCTTAGAGGTCACACTTGGAGTGAGCCACCTTAAAAGTCACACTGGTGTGAATTGGGATTTTGCCATTTTTGAACTTTTGCCTTCTTTATTTGTTAACAAAAACATAACGTATTTATATCAAAACTGGGGTAAAATTTTCCGAGAAATCGAATGATGTAATTAGTTTTGAAAGAAAATTGGTTTGTTAATAAAAAATTGGATTGAAAAAAAAAAACATTTTCGAAAAATGACTTAAATTCGTTTTTTTTTATAAATTAATGGGATGGAAATAATGGGATAAAGTAAAAAAATAATTTTGAAGTACAGGGTGTATTTAAATGGAGGGGCACAAATGATACCAGAGATTCCTTGGGTGAAAATAAGTCGATTTAACCTAATATACCTATATCTCAAGTCGCATAATGAAAAAGATATAGGGTGTCAAAGTGAAAAATATGGTTTTTCCTTAATAATTTCTATAATTTTAGTCAGAAATGTTTCAAAATTTCAAGAGAGGTTTTTTAATGATGGGGAAAAATAATATAATAATGATTTTTGAGTGTCAAGTACGAGGCGCCCTCTGCAGGCAACGTTGTGCATTGAATAAGTAGTAACTTTTTTGCCAACCCTCGTATATAGCTTTTATTAACAAATTATGAAATATTGTACTCATTTTAACTAAAATGGCTAAAGCTAACTGTTAGGAGATATTTTTAATTTCATAAAGGGTCTAGCAGGATAAGATAAGGTCAGCAGCCCCAGAAAGGTATTTTGAAAATGACTTTTGTTATAACATTGGCGAGATATAAATCTCCATTGACACAAATTCAGCCTCACATCTCGCTGCATTCTGGTGATAATTGATCAAATAGACGCTAGAGCGGGTATTTTTCAAAATTGTTTTTTTCAAAAACTATTGCAGCTGCCCTTATGAAACAAAAATTGTTCGTTAGACAAAACATTAGTCAACATTATATATATTTTATGAAATTTTTCTATCATAATTACTATTAAAAAAAAATAAAAATATTTTTTTTCAAGATTTTATTCTTAGTTCACGCAGAGGTAGAATCACAGAAAAAATATATAATGTAGCTTACTATGTCTAGTATTACTACTAAAAAGTGCATAAATATACAACGAGTGCAACACTATAAAAAAAATTTAAACTTCTTATGACCACCTTAGGTACTAATGACTTCCCATTTGTGACACCATTATCTGTTTGTTGCTCAAAAATATATTAGGTAGTAGTTAAAAATGTAAGGAAGACTTTCATTTTGAACAGATGAAAATTGTTTGTGAAACCACAACGTTTTTAGAGAACAAGGCGAAACCTGTCACTTTCCAGCTAATCACGTGTGTGCATTGTGTTTTGTTTACCTACCATTTTTATGCCCCCACCAATATAGTAGCTTGACTTCAATCGTGTGCGGATTGTTTCGGATTATTAAAATGTTTTTATAGTTAAACTGATTTTTATTTGCACTCACTCAGGGTTTCAGCTTGATTTACCTATTTTATTTTTATTTATTTTGTTTTGTTTTGTTCTGCTTTATTTTATTTGTTTTATTTTGTTTTGTTTATTTATTTTATTTTATTTTGTTTGTTTTTATCTTATTTTGTTTTATTTTATTTTGTTTTACTTTACTTTTTTCAGAAGACAATTTTTTTATCGTTATTGTTGCAGTGGAACGGCCTCTGTTTCTTTCTTCGTGGCGAAACCCCTCTGGATGGCTACTGTGTAGTGGTTGATTTAGGGTTTTGTTAAAATAAAACGCAGAATTTTTATCGCTTGTAACGTGTGAGTTGATTGTTTGCAACCTAGCCGGCCGCGCTCCGATCATTAGCAACACTCGATTCAAGCAACTTTGCGCTAGATCAAGCTTTACAAAAAGAATTTGCAACTATGCAAACAACTATCTCACATGTTACAAGCAATAAAAATTCTGCGTTTTATTTTAACAAAACCCAAAATCAACCACTACACAATAGCCGTCCAGAGGGGTTTCGCCGACGAAGAAAGAAGCAGAGGCCGTTCCACTGCAACAACAACGACCAAAAAATTGTCTTCTGAAAAAATAAAGTAACACAAAATAAAATAAAAACAAACAAAATAAAATAAAACAAAATAAGAAACAAACAAAACAAAATAAATAAAAATAAAATAAAATAGCTAAATCAAACTCTGAGGCGAGTTCAAATAAAACAGTTTAACTATAAAAAAATTTTAATATGTAGTCCGAAACAATCCGTACACGATAATTGAAGTCGAGCTACTATAGTGGTGGTGGCATAAAAATGATAGGTAAAAAAAAGACGATGCACACACGCGACTAAGTTCCCTAAAAATGTTGTAGTTCCACAAACAATTTTCATAGGTTTATGTCAAAATTAAAGTTTTTCTTACATTTTTAACTACTATGTAATATATTTTTGAGTAACAAACAGATGATAATGGTGTCACAAATGGAAAGTCATTAGTACCTAAGATGGTTATAAAAAGTTTTAATTTTTTTGATAGTGTTGCACCCATTTTATATTTTTGCACTTTTTGGTAGTAATACTAGACATAGTAAGCTACATTATATATTTTTTCTGTGATTGTATTTCTGCGTGAACTAAGAATAAAATCTTGAAAAAATATATTTAGAAATAAGATAGAAAAATTCTATAAAAAATATATAATGTAGACTAATGTTTTGTCTAACGAACAGTTTTTGTTTCATTAGGACAGTTGCAATAGTTTTTGAAAAAACAATTTTGAAAAATACCCGCTCTAGCGTCTATTTGATCAATTATCACCAGAACGCAGCGAGATGTGAGATTGAATTTGTGTCAATGGTAGATTTATATCTCGCCGATGTTACCACACAAGTGATTTTCAAAATACCTTTCTGGGGCCGCTGACATCTTACCCTTAGTGTTAAAGATTTATACCACCACGAATACCAAAGTACTACAAAACAGACGCTTTTTTAATAAATTCAGAACGCATTGCCTCACAATACTTATTAGTTGTGTATCTGTATTTTAAAATTCGACCAAAAGGGGTGCAGGAATCAACCGAGACAACATTATTTTTCCTGTTTTAAATTTACTCTTTTGCATATTATTTTAGCTTTTAGCACGTGTGAATATACTTGTTGCATAATTTCTATTTAATTGTTTTTTCGGTGTCTATTAAAAAACACATTTTCTTGTGCATGTGAAATTATTTAAACCCTGCATTAAAGAAATCTCATATGAAACAACAGTTTAGGTGGAAAAATATTGCAAAATATTTATTGTTAGTTTAATGATAATTATTAGAAAAAAGAGCAAAACAATTAAAACCAAGAGTCACTTAACAACAGTCAATAGATAATTTAAGAGAAACAATTGACTGACAATAAAAAAAAACAAGATTTTTTAAAGATCAGTTGTCAGATGGCAGCACCAGGATTGTCCATTCCTGAAGTATAAAAGGCAACCCTCGTGTCTTACGTGCCACCCTCGTAACATATAATTTTTTATGTAATTGGTAAAATGGTAATTTACAACTTTAGGTCTCTGAACAAAGGCTACCACTTTATAATACCTGAATCTTGCTATCTTGCTTACACATTGCACCAAAAAAATTTTCTTTCAAACTTGTGTACAATTATATTGTTTATATATTTATTATTTTTTTATAGAAAATAAAGACCCAATTAGACAACTGCACTCCCATCGATGTTAAACTTAAGGAGCTTCAGGATTATTTCATGACCGACTCAATCAGCAGAGCTTCTCCCACAATGGCGAAGTGCGTACAAGCTGTATTGAAACAAAAACAGTCAAAGTTCTGAGTGTAATATACTAAGTAATTGAATTGTTAAGTTATTTCTAGTAAATCAGGTACCATTTTAAGAAGAAAACTGTATAGTTTTAAATTGCATATTTGTTTTTTTTTTTATTTCTCGTTATATGAAGCTGTTTCTCGGATACAATAAAGTTAATAAAAGTACTACAAGTGTTTTATCAGCTTTTATGAAATAAAGAAGTTTTTTCTTTCAACTGTAGTTTTCTTTGCCAGTAAGGTAAAGGTCATGAAGCTTACCAGCAATTAGGCCATGCTTGGCCCTTTTTGCCTGCTAACTTACACTACCCTCCACCTGAATAATCACAAACATCCATGGGTACGACAGGAAAATTTTTTTGAATTTTCCTGCCGCGTGCGGGATTCGAACCCACTACGGTTTTGCCGCACAGCCCTGGTTTGCCTCAGTAGGCAATCCTTGACCGCTTCGGCTACCACCACGCCCTTCTTTGCCAGTATGTATCGGTTTATAAATTGAACATAAATAAACTATAGTGAAATTATGAAATTCGTATTTAAAATTGTTACTTGTTGAATTATCAGTTATCTAGTTCTCCGAGTATGAAAAAAAAATAAGACTTATTGTATTGGTATAAATTACAGTGGTGCAGTTTGACAACACCATTGTAGAACTAACGAAAAAATTAAAACATGCACTGTTTTTGTAATTGTATTTATTTAGAAGCACCTTTATCTACACCACTGGGTTTAACTATTGTGTTATTTAGAGAAGAAAAACAATTATCATTAAATAAATTTGACTTTAGAAATAGATAGTTTTTTTTTGTAATTCAACTTACAGAAAATCAATTTTTTTAATTTAATAACATTTGAAGTTTCAAGCAAAATTTTATTTAGATTTCAAAAATCGAAAAGTATTCGTTACCTTTACAACATATAAGTTTTGTTACTAATAACAAAAAGTTTCGCCGAAAGTTATAGAGATGCCACTTTATTATTTCTCTTAGCTTACATTAAATTTAGGATGGAGAGAATTACAACCATTTCCTTTTTTCATTTGATCACACTGATCTCAGCAATAGGGACCGCAACACAAAGACAAAATGAACAGAATTGTGTTAAAAGGTTGATACATTATTCAACATGGCCGGTTGGGGTGAACATATGGTACACAGTCAATTGGATAAGATATTGGCTGCTGATCCGATATGTATATTAAGTTAAAAATTCTGAGTTATGAACCAAATTCAAAAACTTCTTGACATCAATGTTTTCTGTTTTTTTCTCTAAATTATAAAATTCAAAGAAAAATTTTAAAAATGATTTGACAAAATAGCTAAAAATGGAAAAACACTTTCTATGTAAGAAGAATATGATATCTTATATGATAACTCAAATACATCCTCAATCTACCCTCAGAAAATATGAAAAATCCCCCAAAAGCGTAGAAGAGTGTTCCTCCATATTTTGCACATCTGGTAATATTAGAGAAAAACCTAATATACATTCACAAACGAACTTGAGAGCACAAGAGGGTAAAAGAAATGCTTATTTATTTCTTCATAACTTTATTTCTTCATAACTTGATTACAGCTGCGCCAATATGAAAAATTTTATTGTCTAGACCTAGAGGGCCATATTTGTACATGTACGAATTTTCCTGAAATGTCAGAATTTTATATCAAATCAAACAAATTAACATTAAAAATGTATCAAAATCGATAAGCTGTAATTTTTTTAATCGTGTATATCAATCATATATAAGTATATTTTGATAGGAGATATTATTATACTGTCTGTTAAAGAATGGTCCAGGTTTCACCACTAAATTCTAGTATAAAAATTAATGGGGGTATGACACGTACCTGCATATCTTCTGTTTTTCTTATTTTACACAATGAATAATGATTTTGGACCTATCAGACCTATCAGTTTTAGCCGAGTTTGGAAAATTCAATGGTGCGCAAATGCCACACGAATAACTTTTTTTATGTAGTTTTTTTTTAAACACCCTGTATATAATTTCATATTTGAATAAAGCATAATTAGTTATATGATAGGTTTTGTCGTATTCAAAGTCCCGAGTGTAGTAGGCATTTCAAATTTTCACTCGACTTTCTAATTAAATCTACAAAGCCAGCTGCAACCAATCTACGCGATGCCTATCTCGCCAAAAGTAGATGTCCATGTCTTAGAGACCCAGCGGACTCTACACAGAGCTCTGACAGAGCGCAGAAGGCACAGTTCGAAAAATATAATTTTTACCTGTTTCGATAATTTCCGCAGTAGTTCTCTATGAAACTCCCAACTGCCTCAATTACCAAAACCGCAGTAGACGACACCAGCGAAGGCCGATGATGTCGGCACAGCGACCGCCGACAATATGCGTCACGCAGAAAAATCACATCAGTTCTGAATTTTGGGAAATAAAAAGTTTCACAAATTCATTACGATTATGACTGAGGTAGGGCAACATGAAAAGCAATTACTAAAACTGACTACAAATGCACAACCAATTCCAGGTTGAGCATTAAAGATGTTTATATAATCTCTTTTCTTTCGTTTTGTGTTCTATTGCTTGTGCTATTTATTGTGATATGTTTTTTATTAATTTATTTTTTTTGTGTATATCTATACATTTTTTCATATCAAGAAAGGCCAATTGTCTAAACTTAAGGCGGACTTCACTACAGGATCTTTGTGGACCTATCAAGGAACGGGATCGAACGTCGACTGGTACAGTATAATTCATTGACAAGGACTAGAATTTATCTACAGTATACTCCAAATTTATTGCCATGTGCATTATATAAAGCTCTTTGTAGATCATAAATTTCATACTCGTTTATAGTCAATACATTGTTATCAATAAATCTCATATTGTTTTAATTCGAAATATTGTAAAAAATTTCCTAAGATGAATAACTTTCAAACCAAGCAAAAATATATATTAATGAAAACAGAGATACGTAAACAATATTCCAGGTTTGCGTTTTGTTTATAACACAAAACTGTCAGAAGATCGATAAACCATCTATCTTATAATAAACAATAAATCCACATAACCTTTTTTATTAAAAAAGATAGTGATATAATTTCGCAGAAAAGTTAAATATATTTGAACTGTACTGTGAAATCCGCAAAAAGTAAAGATATTCCCGCGATTAATCAATTTAAAATTCAGATGAAAATCAACGAATTTCACGTCATAATGAAAACCTGCGTTTAAGGATAAATTCATCATCAGACTCGATCACCCACGTCGTAATTCGAATTCTGATCAATCGACTAAACAGTTGATCCATCACGCCGTAAAGTCGTAAGGCGCCTGGTTTTACCGGTCACTTAACGCAGCCTTATATTAATGACAAAATATATAGGAAGTTTCTTTTAAAAAATAATATTTTGCCTGTCATGCTTTTCAAAAACACCCTGTACAAAATTTATACTACAACTACTATCATTTCGCTTTATTTTTTATACTTTAAAACCAGAAAGCAAAAGTGCTTAGTGGCACAGTGTATCATTCATTTAAAGAAAATTCCCTTTCTTGCACGTCACTGAATTTTCCAATTCACTTAAACTATGCCTGATACTAGAGATCCAGAATATCACTCATCTTCTATAAAAATTAGAAAATAACTGCTATGTAGGTTTCTACGGTATAACTAAAACTAAATCTAGTTTCTTTATTTATCTTCAATAGGTACCTACTCTATTTTTTAACCAAAATTCCTACCAACAGATTTTTATATAAACTAATCCCCATTTAGCTTTCACAGTAAAATCTACTTGTGAAATTTAGCCCAGCTTTGCATATGGCCAAAAGGGACATAAATTCAATGAGTTAGAAAAAAATTATTAGTATTAGTCCACACATACTTAAGTCTTTGTCCAACATTGCGCGTATAGTGCAATTTGTAGACACTATTACTTAATAGTTCGCCCATTGAGAAATTTCCTCTCTCAACGCTTTGTTCCTACAGTCCAAAACAAATCCCAACTGTCAGGCGCATGCGAATTGCGATATCATGCTGACAATATTCAAAATTCATTACATATTTCGAATCAAATGCGATTGCGTGTGACTCAGATATTTTCCGTATTAATAAATAACAGCTTGAGACAGTTATTATTAGTGATGGGCATAATCGACCAATTTTGATAATCGAGTTATCGGTAATCGAGTACTTCTAATAATCGAGTGATCACTCCAGATACGAGATATTGGTCATTTTCATCCCAGCGGCGCACAAATATGTTTGTATTAGTCATATATTACTTATAAGCGTAGCTAAAAAAAAAAAGCTCACGCACTTCAAAACCTAACCACTTTTTCGTTTTATTCTAAAAAAAAGGTTACGCAATCAGTGACTATTTGCAGTATGTACTAACATTTTGGGGTGCAACCGTAGGGTAATAATCACTCGAGTGGTGGGAGTAAACATCTCGAGATATCTCGAGTGATCTCAATAATCGAGTACCACTCGATTTTTCACTCGAAATCTCCCATCACTAGTTATTATTATTATTTATTTACTTATCACAACACACGCTGCTTGCAGGCCAGTTGTTAACAACGATTCCATGCAATCTTATTGGTCGTGCCATTAAACTGAGAGTGAAAGTGTATGTATATGGAAAACAGCACACAGTTTTATTCCATTAAAAATACACTAAATTAATTATCCGCTACCTAGAAATTGATTAGGTTAGTAGTACTATACCGTTGACTGGACACACTGCAATTATTTAAAAAAAATACTAATATACCCTATTATGTAAAACTATACGTATAAAAAAACAACAAAAGTAGGTTGATTTTGGCAACCCTGCGATGTTAATCTGTTTAATTCTTCAAAAATAGCAACTGCAGGTAGACAGCAAAATATAGAAACATGAACGGTTTTACACGTTTATTCATAATCTATTTACAAATTTAAAGTACGGTCCTGTTTACAGAGAGCCGGCGCTTTGTACATATGCCAGCAGCCAACACTCTGGTTATGCGCATGCGAAATCGATTTGATGTAGAAATGTCAAAGTATTGTTTTCTGCGACAAAAATAGTGATTTTTCAAGCGGAAATAAGACAATAAGGTGAGTTTTATTACTTATTCCTATCGTTTCAATATCAATTTATAATTTTACATAGATTTATAATTATTGTAAATGATTGTATAAAATTATTAACAATTCGCTCTTTGTATCAGTACCGTAATAGCAGATTAGTTTAATCTGTATTTGTTTATATCCAGACGTTTGTTTATATGGCAAAAATTATGCTTTTTTCGATATTTTCCATATATTATATGTTGCAAAACTGTTTATATTTTTAACATTTCAACGCGCAGGGGTTGAAGCTAGGTCATGATCATTGATTTTACAACCCCCACACGAGTAGGGTTGTGTGGGGATGGTATGACTCATTGGGGATATTTTGGAATTTCTGTTTTTATGTGTAATTAAATGTTAAATATCGCTTCGACATGGAAGAATGAATATTCTACCAATAATAGGATTGAGGTAGGTAGTTAGCAATTTTAAACTGCTTTTCATTTAGTGCCTATAAGCCTTGAAAAATGTTTTAGGTGAATTAAATATTAATCTCTTGTAAGAATCAATAATTGGTAGACTCATTCATGAAATTTATTTGCTTAATTGAGATTTTTATCAAGTACATATAAATTATATAAAAATAATCGATGTTCTTAAATACTCTGACCCTGAAAAATACTTATTTGAGAATTAGGTATGTTTTTAGTCAACTGTATATTTCACCTGTCGTTGTGATATTTTGAGTTAGCACCTATACATTTTAAAAAATTTTGGTACTATTGTACTTGAATTTTCATTTATTTAAAAGCCTATTATTTTACCCATCTTTTCAATCCACATTTTATTTTACTGTAAGTAATTTTGGAAATTTTCGTTCAATATTTTCAAAAATAATAAATGTTCTAAGGTAGTAGGATAATTTGTTAATTAAGCCCTTAAAAAATTTTCATGACTATAGCAGAAAAAAGACAATGTCTATTTCCTCGAATGTACATTATTCATATACACATTTTTAATGTTTAATCTCTATATAGGTACAATAGAGGAGTTATGAAATGTTTTCATTTACATATTCGTAAGTAAATATATAGATATATTTCAAAATTTGTGGTAGATTTATAACATTTTGGTTTATTTTGATCGAAAATGTAAAAAAAATGTTTTGTGTAAAGAGAATAAATATACAAGGTGTTCCGAATAGTCTATATAACCATGCAAAAGATTAAAATGCATTTTAAATTTTATTTAAGGTCATAGTATTCACTAAATATGTATATATTTATGTACAGCCACATTTTCATTTTGGTTTTTATTAAAATTAAAATGTGCATTATTATTTTGATCATAACGTGAGTCCGAGCGTGAGTCGTATAAATTTAATATTTTATGAATTATTTGACCAGATGGAACACATTTCTGGAGTCTCCTACAGCTGCATTTTATGCAAAACACATACACAAACATACTTGTTATTCAACTAAATACATCGCTAATTAGTGATATTGCTTCTGTTAATGGGAGACAAGAATCAGATCACTGTTATGACATATCAATAAACCTAGTTAAAAAAAAATGATATAATAACTAGATATTTGATATAAATATGTAAATTCATGAGTAATTTGTAACATCTCTCGCATCTGTTAATGGAATATGTGAATATTATTATTATGACACATTGATATATTACGCAATTTGCTTTCATTTTATACATAATTTATTATTCATTTCTGTAGTTCAACTCACTGGGTATTAATAATTCGTGGCATAAGAAGAGTAAGTAATAATTCTATTTTATTTTTATTAGCGTTTGTCCTATTGCTGATCCTGATAGCATTTCTGTTCAATATTTTTTTTGTTTTTCAATTTTTTTTACATTTTCTAAGATCCTTGGATGATCACATCAATAGTAAAGGGTTGAATTTGCATTTTGTAAATATTAATAATTTTGGAAAATATTTTGTTTTATACGTATGGAAGTATGAGGTCAGAAGCCGTATACAGGGTGTCCCGAAATTCATGCAACAAAATTTGGTCACAGATTTTTAAGACAAATTTAGGGGACCCGTATTTTTTAATTTTGTCAAGTCTTTCGAAGTTACAGCCCCCTGAAATCCCCCCCTAAGAATAATCTTTTATATCTCAGAACCCTGTTGTACCTACGAGAATCACTAAATTTAGTACATAGGGGTTTTATGACATATGGAATTTGAGGGTGCTACGTTTTTTGGCGGGGAACCTCCTTAAGACAATTTTTCGTGGGCCCCCTTGTCTTTGGAGCCAAAATAAATTGGTGACATATTTAAATTTCTTAAAAATTATTAGCCACTAGAAAGCCATTAAGTTTAGAAACTTTTTGTCTCTTTATACTTTTTTCGTAAAACGCAATGTTTTCGAGAAAAATGTCAAAATGTGATCGAATGCATATCGCGATTCGCCATTTTCCTCAAAAACATTGCGTTTTTCGAAACAAATATCAAGAGACGAAAAAGTTTATAAATTCAAGGGCTTTCTAGCTAACTAATAATTAAAAAAAAAATCAAATTTGCGTACAAATTTTTCTGGTTCCAAAGACAAGGCGGGCCACGAAAAAGTGTCTTCAGGGGGTTTCTCGCCAAAAAGTGTAGCACTGTGAGATTCCACATGTCATAAAACCCCTGTGTACCAGATTTAGTGATTCTCGTACAACATGGTTTTGAGATATAAAAAAGACTTCTTAGGGGCAGATTTCAGGGGGCTGTAACTCCGAAAGAGTGGGCCAGTTGACAAAAATAAAAAATACGGGTTCCCTAAATTTGTCTTAAGAATCTATAACCAAATTTTGTTGCATGAATTTCGGGACACCCTGTACATTTTACTTGCATTAAAATCTTACTCATGTATAAAGAATATTCCTTTCTTGAGTTTTTTTTGCGTTATGAAATACATGTTTATTTTGACAAGTGTCCAGAAGAAAATACTGTATTGGCCGGTGTATTGCAGTAGAAAATACAAAATACAAATATGTATGTATACATATATTTTTCTTGGTAAAATCATGGGACAATTTTCTGTTTTCTTTTTTAATTACACATTATTTATGAGCTTTATTGCTTTTATTCTATTTTAATAATATTCGTAAATTCTCATTAAATACAGGGTGTAACTAAAATTATTGGTTTCAAAATGATTTTATAAATATATTATGTCTGGAAACACTGTTATGGAGATTGGAGAGTTAACAAATTATATGGTTTATTTAAGTTACAAAGTAGGAAAGGAAATATTTTATTTCATCCATAGTTAATGTTGTTATTTATTTGCAATTTAAAAGATAATGTTTGACACTGTTTGCTATACCTAGGAATGATCTAACAATTCAGCATTTATCTCGAAAACAGTACATTCTAGCAATATGTAGTAAATATTCATTTTTTTGTACTTTAGAGATTACTTTTTTATGTATTCTCCATTTTATACAGGGTGTAACGGATGCTGATGACCAAACTTCAGGGGGTTATTATACAAGTAATTTTCAACAAAAAAGTATTATAAGATTTTTTTGGAAAGTTGATAGTTTCTCTTTTATTTAACATTTTATGATTTCAAAAAATGTTGTGCCTTTTTTCATAAAAACAAAAATATATCTGTTATTCTTACAGCCACATCAAATTTAGACATACCATTGGAAAGAAGCGTTAAATTTACTACAAGGCGAGCATATACGAGTGTTTAAAAAATCTTCTATATCAGGTGCTGTAAAAAGTTATATGTAATAATTCTGAAATGAGCAAAATTAGTGGTATCTCCTTATTGGTGGTAATGCCAAAAATTTGTTAATGAGGACGTGTTTTTTCTTCAGCAAAATCTACTGTATTTAGTAAACTTTTCAACGATATATCAACTTTTGAGTTTGCTATTTTTTTTTTTTGGCAGCAATATCAAGGGCAAAGGTAATAAAACAGTAAAAATCGAAAATACACTTTATAGTACTTTATTTTTATTTTAAGACTGTTTTTTTAAATTAAAGTAACAAAATTGTCGAAACAATTATTTATAACTTAGTAACATATTTACAATGACTTAATAATTTTCGATGTAACCTCCCCCTTGACGGATACATAAAGCGCACCTTCTCCGCACGGAAGCAACTGTGCGACGCACTTCTCCATTTTGCTGTCGAAGTAGCTCCCAACAAGCAAAGATCCTTTTTTCGAACTATTTCCGAGTTTCAATTAGTACTTCATATACCAAAGATTTTAATCTACCCCACCAAAAAAAGTCTAACGGAGTTAGATCAGGGCTTAGAGGAAGCCACCTAACTGTACCAAAGCGTCCTATCCATCTATCTTCATAATGCTCGTTTAGCCATGCCCGAATCTCCCTGCTGTTATGTGTAGGGCAACCATCCATTTGAAGCCAGGAATTAATCCGAAAATTTAAAGGAACCTCTTCTAATAAACTAATCCAGTAAACTTTGAACAGGGTCAAATGATAAGGGTGAAGGTTGTTCCTTCTGAGACTTCTGTGAACTGACGTATCCGAAATTCTCCTAAGTTGTATTGCTGCCCTGCGCTTACTTAATGTGGGAGTTTCTTCAAAAAGCGTTGTTATAATTTGGTCTTGATGACCATTTTCTCGCAAAACCCGAAATGTAGTTACAAAAGTTTTTCTGTTTGGAATGCGTCTTTCAGGATAGCGGCGAGAATATTCTGCAACTGCTGCTCTAGAATTTCCATTGCAAACACCATACACAAATAAAATATCTCGATACTCGTTATTTGTGAAAAAACGTGGCATCTCCAATTATTTAGATATTAAGTAATCAACAAGAACACTAAAGTAATTTTATGACTTTGACAGTTGTGTTAATATTGCTTTTCACAGCCGCCTTGGCATTTATCTATCATGAAAGACGCATTCTAAACAAAAACACGTTTGTAACAATATTTCGGATTATAGGACAAAGAGGGAGAGTTAGAAAAACAGCTTTTTGAAGAAACTCCCACAAAAACTACACGCATGGAGTAATACGAACAGACAAAATAAAAATAAAGTACTAT